TAGAAGCACAAATCCGCAAATAAACCCCAACTGAAAAAGATTAAGGAAACCATAAAAACAAAAGGAACTGTTGAAAGATTAGCATATAAAAATCGTTCAAAGCCAATGACTGCAATTCAGGCCAAAGCAGTGCTTGAAAACGAAAGTACCTACCCCTAATCCGAACACGATCGTAAACATCGTTGATGCGGGTGCAAAGTCGAGTATAAACGCGGCAAATAGTGATCCCACTTGAGTGGAAAGAGCAAAAGCCGAAAACTAAAAAACCCAGCAATAAAAGAAAAGTGTCAAGCAGTAGATTCTTCTAATAATTTAAATCAGGAAATCAAGTGTTGCTTTGGATGTTCAGAAGCTAGAAGCTGCACCTGCCAAAATGTCATAAATGTAGTTGTCAAGATGGATATGAGGAAAACCCAAAATAACCCAGTTGAATTACGCCTAAATAAACATCGTTAAAAAATTTAACTTTTGTTGTAATAGCTGTCTTCAAACGGAACATCGTAAACTTTTTTTCCTTCCAGTACTAATGAAATTCAATGCAACTAGTAAACGAGTCAATAAACTTTTTTTCACCTATATGAAACTTATCAAGTCAAACAACGTTACCGAAGAACCCAAGTGACGATGAAGATTTGGAATATGAAGACTGGATATCCAAACGACTCACGCAACGGCGGAGTCCACTGCACTCGAGTTGCCTCTCCATGATTGAAGAAGAAACCGCAAACCGATACAAGTCCTCCAAATATCGAATCACTAAAAACTTCTAAAGATTACATTTATTTTAATAATATCAGTTAATGGCGTCAAGGCACTATCAAAGACAAATATTATTAGTGTTATTGAGAAAGACAAATTATACTAGCCCATACACGCGTCAGAATTTCTAATAAACACTAGAGACAAGAAAGTGCTAGTGCTGTTATATCCCGGCGCTCTATGCATTATACATCGTTGACTGGCTTTACTCCTGGCGCGTGGTGCTCTAAGTTTCTACAGTAATACTACCTTCCAGATTCACCTTTGCACCGTGCCTTCTTTTAACTACTTCTACTACTAGTTTTTGGTCCGCCTCAACAGAACAGAACTGCCCGCATAACGCAAATAATGGCAGCACAGTTACTGCGCTAAGGCGGTATATCATCGTTTACTATATGAAATGTCTGTTTTGATACTGAAAAGTAAGCCCGTCTTTATTAGCTTTAACTCTATTGTCTCCCTATATAACTCAAAAGTATCAAATAAAATACTTTCCATTGTTTGTAGGCCAATCCAGTCTCACAAGAAAGAAAAAGGTGTAAATAAGTAAATTAAACTTTTCACTAATTACCATTCCTCAAAGCAATGTAATTTTTCTTGACTTATTTTAACTGTAGCAGGAATATGAAGATACTGCAGTTCTTCTCAATTATAAGTGAGGCGAGGAGTACGCACCGATGCTACTTGCACAGATTGAACAGTAGAAGAACATTGGTAATTCGTATTACATCACCAAAACAAATGATAAGCGATCCCTATCCGAAGACGAAAGGCGAATGTTCAAAAATGTCCAGTCATTGAACATAACACCTTTCGACTACCATTTATATGGAAGATGCAGTCAAATTTGAAGAAGGCGTAAATCTGTGATTTCGAAGAAATCAAACATTGAACATATTAGCAAAATGGATCAACTGATCTCCATTTGTTTTCAGATACAGTTTTTGCCAATGAGGCAAAAGACATTCAGATGCGGTTTACCAAACGGTAATTTTATGGGTCCTTTGAATTGAAGTTTTGCTCAAAAAGTATGGCTGGAAAACGTGTTTAATCAAAGAAGCTTCCGATAGTAAGCCTTCAAACAAAGATTTTTGGCGACACTTCTTCGACATAACAGCTTCTGTTCATTCAGACATAGTACATTTCTTGAAGTTTCAGGCTGAATCCTTCTTTGTATCTTCTTGTTTCAGTTCCTTTGCATTTTTGAGAAGTAGTCTTTTACTTTCCCCTGCGTTTACACTGCAATTTCGCCTCTCCGCTGTACTCGTCGGCAACTTATTTCTTAATTTCGAAAGGAGCTTACCCTCACCGGGCTTACAGACCAAATCTTCTAAGACAGCGAAGAAAGCACCACTATAAACTTCCAAAAATTCAAAAATAGACAGATTTTTTGAACTTCTTAATAAACCGAAAGTGAAGAAATGTAGCGTTTAAATGAGCGATAGAAATAATTAAGGCTAAGACCTGACAAGAACTCCAAGGAAGAACAAACTAGCAGCAACGGTACCAAACAAAGCAAATACATTATCTACGTAGAAATAATGTTGATTTCCAATACCTGCAAATTCAGAAAAAAAGATTTTCAAGATAACACAATATTCTTCAAACATTGCTGATAGCTCACTAATGTTATAAATGCCAATAAGGGTACCTGACCTTCGCAGCTTTGGATAGGAGACAAATTGTCGCCACGACTAACTTGCCAACACTTTTGCGTTTGTATTCCTAAAGTCGTCGTAATACGGTTGAAAATACGATAAGCAGCTCCAACAAATACCTGTTGAAATAAAAGTTACTAAAGTATTCTAATTTCTGTCTTAATTTAAAAAAAGCTGATTTCATTATTGAAAAGCATTTCAATAGAAAGGCTGAAAAATAGTTTACTAGTCTTAAAATAGTGCTAGCGCTTATGTACTTGTATATATAAGCCATTCCACGTCAAATCGCACACTTTTTCCCCTTCATATCTCAAATTTTCTTCAAATTTTGCTGATAGTAAAGTCTAGGCGAGCATAGAAAAAGCCGCAAAAAAACCTGAAAAAGAGAATTCCTCGCTAAGTTACATCCCCTCAAATTGGCACAAAGATACATCAAAAACAAAATTTCAAACAAAAATTAAAAAAAACAAAGTTTTAAATTTTTGGAAAAAAACGATGTTTTATGCAGAATTTTTTGCTCTACAACATATCAAAATTTGGAGGTGGCAATTTTTTGGTATCCAGAGCTACGAGCTAGAATAGGATGTAAAACTGACAAAAACCTACTATTTTTACAGTAATCTCATGGATTTTACAATTGGAAACCTTCCGGAGCCGTTTCTGACGGCCCGCAACAGGCAGCCACAAATAATCCGTACGCTTTAAACGTTGAAAATTTGCTACTAAAGTTGTAGTTTACATTCATAATATTAACTATT